ACTTGCAGCTGAGTGTCGCCTTTATATAGCAGTCGGCTGCTCGCAGACGAAAGCGTAGAAGCATCGAATAGTTCGCTATGGAAGGTTCTTGTTTTATCGTTTCTAGAATGTACTAGTTATCGGCTTCTCTCTTTCATCTGACATTCGCCTCGCATTTTCGCAGCAATATTTTACATTTTGGTTACCATATTAATCATTTTTGACGCTGCTGTCCGCAGAGAACGTAAATATAACGAGAAGGTTCAGGGCGTGCCGATTGTCATTTTGTTCCGCTTTGCAGTCGACGCCAGTTTTCTATGGATGCATTTCACCCCAGATTTCGATGAGCCCTGTTCACCACATTTTAACAGAGAACTAGCAGAATTGTGCTCAAAATAGTAGAATGAGTACAATAATGAGAATTTTCATGCAAAATAAATGTAAAATGATAAAAACCTATTGAAGATAAATGTAAACATGCATACGGGTATTATCAGTAATTTCTGATTTCAATTTCAGTTTATTTGCTTATATTAATTTGCAAATTTACACATTTTTGTAGTTTATTATTTTATTTTTATTTACTTACATATTTCTAAGTTTTACTAATAATTTTTGAAACATAAAACTAATGTCAGTCATGATAATACATAAATGAGACATAATAAAACATATTTGATTAAATTCTTTCATTTATTATTTTTGTTGGGGTAAATATCGAAATAAGTAAACAAGTCAATATTCATTAATTCATTTAAACGTATGAGCGTGCGTACATACATATGTACCTATTATATATGTATGTACATATGTTTGCTTATGCGTATTAAGAAGAAGCAAAACGTACACATCTAGCAAAAAAAAAAGCCATGCCATCACCATGACAACACTATTTTAATAGCAAAAAAGTCCTTCTCGAGACGAACGCTGGCGCACCGTCTACCAAGCGAGCTGCGCAGACAGCACACAACTCCCCGCATGCGACTCGCCTACAAACCAGTACATTATCAGTACATTGCTGAGCATATTTAATTTTGCTACGCTCAGTAATGTTATGCATCAATAGCAAACTCTGTTAGTTTCTGGCGGCCTGTGGTGAAATGCACCCATCGTAACTTGGCAGCTTTTGACAGTTTACACGCTGGTCCGCAATTGAACCTTCTCGTTGTATTTACGTTCTCTGCTGTCCGCGTATACGTTATACTCATTAATGTAATACATACGTCATCCGTACACGTCGGAGAATGTTGCACTATAAAATTTGATTAACACTTCGATTATCAAAAAAAAAAATAGCAGTGATAAGACAGCATAAGCATATTGCTAGTTATGGCTCCACCGTCTGCAAGACTAAGATACAATGCCAATAAGTCGGACATTGGATCTTTTGTTCCAAAAAAACATTCTAAGAAGCCTGAGAAACTTCCAAAAAAAGACTTGAAAAAGTGAGTGTGATTTAAGAAGAAATAAATTTTTTTATTGTTCTGAATGTTATCTATAGTGCTAATGGAATAACAGCTTTGCCAGTCACTATTGATTCGAAGGTGTCCATCGTGCCAAGCATAGATACTGCATTTAAGACGTTCATTAGTGCTCGGCTATGTAGCGCTATTTGGGCATATATATCGGATTGTGATGAGACGTTCAACTACTGGGAACCACTTCATTACATTATTAATGGACATGGCTTGCAAACTTGGGAGTATAGTCCAGAGTTTGCATTACGCTCTTACACATATCTGTTATTGCAAGGAGTTCCAGGCTGGATATATCAAAAACTTTTTGACCCAAGCCCCATCCTTATATTTTATATGATACGATGTATTTTAGGATTTGGTTGTGCAGTTATGGAACGTTTCATGTATAAGTAAGTAATTTGGCAGAAGTAATTGTAATTTTTTTTACAATTTTTGTAATTTACATTATTGAATGACATTTTTATAATCTAGGGCAATCTCTCAGGAATTTGGAATACATATTGGCCGTTTATGGTTGATTTTTCAGCTGTTTAGTGTTGGGATGTTTGTGTCAAGTACTGCATTGTTACCGTCATCTTTTTCAATGTATTTTGGATGTGCAGCTCTCGCTGCATGGTGGCAAATGAAATATAGTCTAGCTATATTCTTCGTGGCTATTTCTTCATTGCTTGGTTGGCCTTTTGGAGGATTAATTGGTGTTCCAATTGCTGTAGATATGCTATTGCGGAAACGATTGTGGAAGACTTTTTTAATATGGGGAACTATTTCTGCATTAACCATTGGCGTTCCAATGGTTCTAATCGACAGCAACTATTATGGAAAATTTGTGGTTGCTCCATTAAACTTGGTGATTTATAACGTATTCACAAGCCATGGACCAAATATTTTTGGCACTGAGCCTTGGACATATTATGTAATAAACGGATTTTTAAACTTTAACATCGTATGGGTAAGTAATACGCACAGTTATAAATATTTTATAAAATTTGCACCACATAATAAATAAATACTTTTTTTCAGCTCTTTTCCTTAGTTACTCCGATTGTACTGGTCCTTGATCACTTTGTAGTTCCAGCGAAATTCAAATCAACGCTTAATTTTCCTAGATATTTGTCGTTAGCCCCTCTATATGTGTGGTTACTAGTTTTCTTTCCACAACCCCACAAAGAAGAACGCTTCCTTTTTCCAATATATCCATTAATATCATTATGTGGGGCAATCACAGTGGATGTTTTCCAACGACTTTTCTATAGATTAAAATCAATATTTAAAAGTAAATTAACATCAGGTTCTCATTACTTAGATCATTCCATGTTCATTGCAATCTCCGTAATGCTTGTAAGTACTTTATTGGGATTATCTAGGGTTTTTTCTCTATATCGAAACTATCATGCTCCAATGGATATAGTCATGGAACTTAATCAATTTGCATATTCACAAGAATATCAAGATGATAGAATATATAATATCTGTATTGGAAAAGATTGGTATCGTTATCCTGGTAGCTTCTTTTTGCCATCGAATAATTTCCGTTTGCGGTTTTTAAAGTCAGAGTTTCGAGGAATGTTACCAGTTTACTATAGTAATGAAGAAAATGGTACCAAAGTAGTGCATCCATATTTTAATGATATTAACCAAGAAGATGAAAGAACATATTTTAATTACAACAACTGCGATTTTTTAATATATTTTGATGAGGGGAAGTATACGGCTCTCGAACCTAATTACGCAAAATATTCAAAAGAATGGACAATATTAAAATCTTTACCTTTTCTAATTCAAGAGAAATCACATAAACTCTTCAGAGCTTTTTATATACCATTCTTCACGGACACATATACCTCGTATGGAAATTTCAATTTATTAAAGCGTAAAAGACAGAAGTAATTATTATATATGTTCTTTCTTTGACATTATCAACTCTGGCAACGGTGAGTACGCATATGTGGTAAGTAACATTTGGAATAGAATCGCTATTTCAAGGGAAGTAGCGTAGCGCGCATTTGTGATAAGCTCTAAACTCGCATTTGTTTTATATATGTAAATAATGCGTGCTTTGTGACGGCTAAAACGATTTTCCTCCCAGTTTCGCCTACAATTTGTTGTGTGCGTCTTAATATTTTTTGCAAACAATATGAGGGAGGTAGGACCTACCGCATCCCAATGGCTGATCATTTTTTATGAGAAGCCTTTCTTTCAAATTTGAAATACACTAGAAGGACAATCGGACTCGGACATTCCCTGTCGAGGAGCAATTAGTATATACTCTTCCTAAATAAGTATTGTCTTATTTAATAAGTGCTCAAAACAATAGGCATTTTCTTTTGCACCATACAAAATAAGCAATTTTAAATTAATTGACGGAATTAATTTAATTAATTTAGTTCTCTCGACAGTCGGGTCTTTATACTAGAGCGACTCGTATTTTTATCCGGCCAAGGACTGTCACTCCCGCAACATTACCCAAAAAGTACTTTGGGGAATAATTTTACGGTTACAACAACAACAACAGCAATTTTGAATAGTTGAACCGGTTTGAATTGAAATCGCATAAACAATACCCGACCTTACTAATAACGTTGCAAAGTAAAAGAATTGTACTATTGGAGAATGCCACTGAAAGAACCCTAGGAAATATGTCGCTAAAGATGAAACCGTTTAAAAATTTCAGTTGAACTTCAAAATTCAGTGACTGCAAAAGGGGACAGTAAGTAAAATGGCCCCTCATAGTTTACTAAAAAATTATCAATTAAAATAGGAATTATATTTCAGAAAGCAAGAGAAAAAACGAAGAAGATGTCCTCGCGAAGGCTATTTGAAAGTCGAAACACTTCTCGTGATATTAATTTTCGTTTTCGGAAGAGGTTGAGCTAGAACTTGAAAATTTTAATGAACACCAAACTTGTTGACGTGTTTCCAAGCTACAGTGACGCATTTTGTACAAAAAGTACAAACTGCTCATATTTTTTTTTTATTATTTTTAATTAAATATAATTAACATACACGTGTAAATATGTATGTTTATATACCAAAGATTCTTCGGAATAACTCATTCTGCATTGCTTTTCGCTTAAATATTTCACAAGCAAACACTAGTATTGTTAAGTAATACAAATTATAAGTCAGTTGACAACTCTCTCGACAGCCGGTTCTACGCACCGGAATCGACTCGGATTTTATCAGGCCATGAGATGCGCCACTTTCGGCTTTAACCCCGTTTATGTAAACAGGTAACATTAGTCTAAGGTCACTAATGGCGCAACACTTCGCGGCTGGGCTGCTCTAAATCCTTCTGTTGCGGTTATAACTTGCAAGAGTGACAGTCCTTGACTGGCTAAAAATTCGGGTTATTCCGGTATACCGACCCGACTGTCGCGGGAACTATTGCATTTTAGTCGCCTCTTACGACATCAGGCATGCCTTATATAATATAATTGGCGCTTTGTAACCACTGAAGCAATTTTTCGGCCGAACTCCTCTTCCAATTTGTGGTTTTGCGTCTTAATGTTTTTCCGACAAATGGAGGGACCTACAGTTTATACTAAGCCGCCCCCGAAAGGCTAATAGGAATGCATTACCGCGAGTAAATTCGAGAACCCCTAACTCCCGGTGGGGCAACCTTCCCTTCAGGACCGGCGTCGAAACCAACCCTGGCCCAACGGATTATTTTTGCTGCATGTGCCACAAAAAAATTAACCATTCGGCCTTAACCCTAGTGAAGGCGCGCTCCAGGTGTACAATTTTGCTTCTGCCGTTTTCCGATAGGTGGCTGTACCGCCTGAGGCTGATTGAAATATTGTAATTAGATGATAATGCCTTTAAAGTGAGTGTGGACAGTGCCTAACGAATTGCCATCGCCGTTCCAGTGACAGTTTTTCTTGTTTTCGTATTATTCACGCTTGAAAATGTCCGTTTATGTGCCTAATTCTCACCATTTGCGGGAAGTTTTACTTTTCTGTTACAATTCGAAAAAAAATGCAGCTGGAGCGCATCGAATAGAAACTTATTGTGATGCTGCTCTGAGTGAAAGAACGTGTCGGGAGTAGTTTCAACGTTTTAAAAATGGTGATTTCGATGTCGAAGACAAACATGGTGGTGGAAGAGAATCGGTTTGACTTACTACGAGCTCTTAAAACCGGGTGAAACCATCACAGGAGATCGCTACCGAACGCAACTAATGCGCCTTAGTCACGCGCTAAAAGAAAAGCGGCCACAATATCAAGAGCGACAAGACAAAGTCATCCTCCAACATGACATTGCTCGGCCTCACGTCGCAAGAGTGGTAAAAAAGTACCTGGAAATGCTGAAATGGGAAGTCTTGCCCCACTCGACGTATTCCCCAGATGTCGCCCCTTCTGACTTCCACTTATTTCGTTCGATGGCACACGGTCTGGCAGATCAACATTTTCAATCCTTCGAAGAATTGGAAAAGTGGATTGCTTCATGGATGGCGTCGAAAGGGGACTCCTCTTTTCGAGCCGCGATCCGAAAATTGCCGGAAAGATGGGAAAAAGTTGTCGCTAGCGAAGGACAATACTTTGAATAATATATCTGTAAGCACTTTTTCGCAATAAAGCTTTTAATTTTGGAAAAAAAAAACGACGGATGCAAAGTTGTACACCATATATATGTATAGTGTTATAAGTCGACTCTCACGACAGCCGGTTCTACGCACCGGAGTTGACCCGGATTTTATCCGGCCAAGGGCTGTCACCCTTTCGGAGATCTAACCCCGTTTAGGTCTACAGGTAACCTTAGTCTAAGTACGTCAACGAAGCAACACCTCGCAGCTGGGTTGCTCCAAATCCTTCTGATCAGGGCTGGTGTAGAAACCAACCCTGGACCGACGAATTACTTCTGCTGCGTGTGTCAAAGAAGACTCCACCATTCATCCACCTCGATTAGATGCACCCAGTGCAATGGCTGGAGTCATCTTAAGACCTGCTCAGGCCTTAAGACCCACAGGGAATGGACCACAAGTTATATGGCCCCATGCTGCCAGCGTCCAACCGCCCCCCCAGCCTCCACGGCAGTGCCTTCAGCACACATACCCACTCTGGNTAGCAGGTTAAACTCCTACCTATCCAGACTAGACCCCAGCATACCTAACGTATGCCCGGCGTGTGGAGAGTCCCCGCACGACACTAACCACCTCTTCACATGCCCCCTCAAACCTACTCATCTAACCTCCCTCTCCCTTTGGTCCAACCCCGTCGAAACAGCTCGTTTCCTGAGCCTACCTTTAGATGACCTCGACGACTTAGACTAATTCAAGCCTGTGCCTAAGCGAGGTTAGCGAACCGCTACAACAACAACAACATAGTGTCATAAGTTTTAATTAGAGCTTAATATCATTATTGAACCTTGAAGCTTTTAAATTGTTATTCATTTAACTTTTAGCGAAGGTACTGAGCGTGCAATAACGTAAAACTTAGAAATTTTTACGAATAAGAAATTGTGTGAGCAAAATGCTTATAGCGCGCCTTTTCTAGGGTTAAGACACACAGAAAATGGTTCCAATTTTTGTGGCCCCATGGTGCCAGTGTCCCTAGCCTCCACGGCAGTACCTTCAGCACCTTTACCGACTACGGGCTCACGGAGCTCCCCGCAGCAAGACTCTCACCAATCTTCAACCCTCGCGACATCCAACTCCTCTCCCTCCTCTCGCGAGAGGGATATCCAGCAGCTCCTAGTCCTCCGTACAGTCTGTTCCGTGTGTCGGACCATAGAACGTCGTAACATGACATCAGTCAGATGCAACTCCTGCTCTGGCTGGTGCTATTTTTGGACATGCTCTGGCCTGCCTATCACCCGTGATTGCGTGCGGCATACAAACCAGATTGTATTACAGCAACAACACACTCCTCACCACTTGTACTTGCCCTGACCACTATTAATTCGCACGGCTGGTGTTTTTACGCAAATGCAATGTTTAGCATACAATACAAGTATATGTGAAGATAATGCAGACAACACACACAAACATATATTTTTCTGAAAGATAATTTTATTCTCTATTTGATAGAGAAAAAAAATTTGTTGTTGTTTAGCGTACAACAACAACATCATGCAAGAAACATGGGACTCTATTTCAACAGGGCAGTGCCAATACCTGCTTAATTCAATGCAGGATCGTTGTAAATGTGTTATAGAGGCTAAGGGTGATGTTACCAAGTATTACTCGTAATATTAAGTATATATATTATATTAAGCAAAATAGACTGTAAAGTTTGCAGCGTACGAAATAATAGTGGTCAAGCGTTTGTAAACAATAATAAGAATAGTGTATGTAAATAAATGCTGTTGTTGTTTGTATGTGTTATCTGCATTATCTTCACATATACTTGTATTGTATGCTAAACATTGCATATTGGTAAAAACATTGGCCGTGCGAATTGATAGTGGTCAGGGCAAGTATTAAGAACGGACTCCAGGGAAAGATCGACGAGATAGCCGTGAGCACCTGTCTTTTGAATCGAGCCGGATACAACATTATCCGCAAGGACCACGAGCGAGACCATGACAGGGGAAACTACCCTAGAATGTCAGGGCATAGCGATGTCCAGCATGAAATATTTAATATATACATTAGTTTGTTTACAAGTTGCCCAGTAAGATATAGCCCTAATATGCTACTCAGAGGCGAAACCGTTTGTTGCATAATAATTTTTGGCGTTCTGGCCAAGGTACATGCACCAGCTACTTTGCAAAATATGGTCGGACGAAAGCATGCCACACAATTGGAATTTAAGTGTGGTCTGTCCAATCCATAAAAAAGGATAAGCCTCCTTATCAATGTGGCTTTAGATCTAGTAAAGCAACCACTGAACAGATATTCATTATTCGTGATATCTTGGAAAATACCTGTCGATTCGTCGATTTTAAAGCTGCCTTTACGCCGCTGTCTTAATTTGGTATCCTCGCAAAACTTATCGCAGCCGATAGAACGATGAGCTGAACGAGCCTTGCGATGATATTGACTTAGTTCAGCGAATGAAGATACAGCGGTTACGCTGGCTAGGTCATGTCGTCCGAATGGATGTAAACACTCCAGCGTTGAAAGTATTCGATGCAGTACCCGCTGGAGGAAGCAGAGAAAAGGTAGACCTCCATTCCGTTGGAAGAATCAGGTGGAGAGTGACCTGAATTTACTTGGTATTCCCAACTGGTGCGAAACAACGAAGGGACGGAATGAATGGCGCGCTAATTTTAGTTCGCCTATAATCGCGTAAACGATGCCAAGCATCAAACGAAAATGCGATGGTAGTGGAGTGGAATCATTGGAAGATAGGAATGTTGAAGACATAGAAATCACTGAAAAGCAATTTTTACATAAATCTTTCTCCTTTTATAGGACCATTAGAAATAATATATCTATCGTTTGACGGCTATGTTAATATTATCGTCTGGCTCGTACAGCTCATCATACCATCATCTACGGTATTCGGCTTTGCCAATGCGCAAAGAACCATAAATCGTTCGCAAAACTTTTCTCTCGAAGACTCCTCGAGCCGAGAGTCGAAATTATGTTCGACCTCGAAGTTACGTGAGAGCCGAGTCACGAGTGCGTTGACTATTTGTTTGATGACGGGAGATATTTCGTCTTGCCTTCATTCACTACCAGACCTATCAAGTCTGAAGAAAGCAGAACAAACGGCGCGATTGTTGAGAGCAATAATGTCGATATCATCAGCGTACGCCAGCAGCTGTACACTCTTGTAGAAGATTGTACCTTCTCTATTCAGCTCGCAGCTGGTATTTTTTTCTCCAGCAAAAGGTTAAAAAAATCACACGATAAAGAGTCATCTTGTCTGAGACCTCGTCTGATATCAAACGGCTCGGAGAGGTATTTCCCGAACACATATATAAAGCTTTTAAACGAAATAATTAATAAAAATTTGCTTTATATTTGTGCATACTCGTATACATTTGCCCTAACCTAAGTCTCTCCTTGTTTTACCCCCTTGTGCTTGTCGGTTTCTTATATCGTATGAAGTGAAATGTAGCCACGAATGACAATTGAAATGAAATCGAAATCGATCAGGTGATCAGGTACGGAAACGTACGCTAAGTTTTCCCAATTTGAAGGCTGTACTGTGGTCTTGCAGGGAATTTTTTTTGAACGAACACTGAATCCACTTTTCAATAAGTATTTTTATATTTTTATTTCATTATGAATACTATAATGAACTACAAAATGAAGCAGCTTATAATTTTTCTTTTTTTTCTTAAATTTTATTATCTTTAAATCATTTAGTAAATAAACTTATATATATAGGTTTACTAGGTATATATATATATTTAATGTACATATATGCCCTTATTGTATATATATATATATTGTAAGTGTAATTATAGTGAGAAAATGGAAGAAATTGCTTTATATCGGAATATTTAAAAATATACAGTCAAATTATTTTCCGAAGAGCCCATTGCTTCTGTTGCTGCCAAAAGGTTGGAATCTCTAACAGCACTGCAATCTAAATTCGTAATCGATGTTAATCCTCGTTGTGGGCTTGCTGGAACATCCCAAGCTGTTTTCTTGTTATTGTTTTCTTGTTCCATTTTGCCCTGATTGGAAAGAGAGTCATTTTCTACTTCATCCTCCTCGTACAATTGTCCATTAGCTGAGGCACGCGATACTATGCCTGGAAGAATAACTAATGATAATGTTGCCAATCATTATACAAAATTGAGGCATTTGAACTTACTTCTCACAGTTGCCGCATAGCTTTCCCGTTGCCTTTCGCGCTCACGTTCCTGTTCTCTTTTACAATCCCTTTCCGTATTTGCTATACCCGTACCTGAATTATTGAATCCACTACCAATAGGGTTTGACATAGAAATGTTACCATCATGTTTCATATGCAATACAGACACTCCGCTCGTGCCACTGGTGACAATAGTTCCATTTCCACTATTAGATATTTTTTCATGAGTAACCAAATTTGTAGAAGATACTGTGCTATGTGCATGGCTGTGTACGCGATTTCGTCCCAAAGGCGGTGTACTCTTTCGCTTTCTACTCTTCGAATGGACTATGTAGCATATAAGAATGGAAATAATTAGAGTAAATACACATATTATTATTCCGAGCATTCCTATTAAGCTTGAACTCCAAGATGTCTGCGCAAGCGCGACTCCTTCCATGGTAACTGTAACTGGAACCGAGGTACTGCGTGAGGGAACTCCCGAATCAGTTGCTATGGCAATTAAATGAACAGTTGATTCATTAAGTCCTTGCAGCTGTTCAGGACGGATATAAATGCTTCCCTTGGAGTCTATTTCGAAGATACCAGCATGTTGTCCTCTCAATGACAATTCTACTTTGTCATTACGATCTCCATCTGCTGCTTCCACTTTCCCAATCATTACTCCATCAAATGAATCATGTTGTGAATGAAAAGACTGCTGAAATGTAGGTACCAATGGATGCAATTCAAATTACTTTCATATATGTATGTAGAAGTAAGGTAATAATATTTTCGGTTTAATACTGTTATATGTACTGTTATATGCAATAAAATTTTGAATAAATTCTTATAAAAATTAACGTGCAAAGTACATTGCCAAAGTCAGCAAAATGGAAATTACTCTATAATAAATTTTCGAATGTTCATAAATACATACTTAGATACATACATATGCACTTGCATACACACATCAAAATAACTAAATATTAATGTAGCATACACGTATATATTTATAATTAAAGCTGTTGCTTATTTTGTTATATTTAATTGACTTACAATCAGCGTAAGTTTTATTTGATTAAAGGAATAAGCATACAATTATAAAATATACAAACATATACAGTGATGAGCTAAAGTATTGGCACAGCAAGATAGTTCAACTTTAACACATTTTCTTGACCACTTATGAAAATATTTTTAATTCCGAAAAAAAAATGCGGGGACAAAAGGGACAAATTTTCAACCAAATTTACTTCAATTCATTTTCTTATCTTTCATATTAAATTAATACTAATTATAAATGAAAAAAGCACTAACAAAAGTATTGGCGCACTTAAGTTTTACTGGGCTATTGTGCTTAAATTTGCTTGATTTAGCAACTTTTTTCAAAAGTCCCGTTATGTCTACATAAGCAATCGCGTTTTTCCAAATATCAAACCAGAAACATCACAGTACCTTCAATTAGAGTAAAATTTACGTAATTTTCAGAAAAATGAGTGATAAAAAAAGTGAAACTAACGTACATATCTCAGCGGAAAATAACAGTATATTTGCATAAACGGGGCAAATTATATGCAGAATTGGTGAAACCGCTACACCGTAAGAAGCATTGTGAAATGATTTAAGGGGGTTTCATCTTTACAAAACGCAACACGTGTAGGCATGCCTAAGGCTTTAAATGACCGCAGCCAAATAGTAAGAAAGATAAAAAGAAACCCAAGATTATCTTCCACACAAATCGCAGGGGAAGTTAAGGAAGAGTTGGGAAAGGACATTCATCCGCGAACGGTCCGCAGAGCATTGCATAAAGCTAACTTTCATTCTCGTGTAGCTAGACGAAAGCCCTTTATTTCAAAAGTGAACCAAACGTGTCTTTAGCCTATGCTAAGCAGTACCTAAGCAATCCAATTGACTTCTGGGACAATGTACTCTTCTCGGATGAAAGTGAATTCAATATCTTTCGATCTGATGGCCGTCAAACTGTGTGGAGAAAACCTAACATTGATATGTGGTGGAGGGGTCTTTGTATGGGGCTGCATGTCCGCTGCAGGTGCGACTCAAAAACGGCATGGAACCGACATAGCTTATGATGCGTAAGTTGAATTTGATGAATGGAATAAGTATACAATTTTCAAATATATACACATATATATATATGTAATTTATTTTACAGAAAATTAGGTGACCTACTCCACGACAGAGTGGTCATTAACCCAGCCTATTGATTAAGGCGCCTTTTGTAAATTTCATATACATTTATTTCTTCTTTTAGAAGAATTTGATAAAACCTTGTCCTATTTTGGCTCTGGGCAGACACACCAGAAATCAAAAACAAATTGAAATAGAAATTAAACCCTTTTGCAAGAATATACAAAAATACTTTCCTCCCGAGACTCCCGGGATGAGTCGAAATCATATCTTGTCATACGGTGGGACGGGTGTGATGGATGACTTGTAGAGTTTGTTTTTTTGTTTGCCGATAAAGGACTTTACTTTTCAATTGCCTCCTCAGACCAAAGTATTCCTGCGTTGCATTTCAAGTCGGACATAATTATTGGTGTTAATGCTAGTTCCTTGATAGACGAAATTATCTACGACCTCGAAGTTATGACTGTCAAGTCGCTAATGCGACCAATGTTTTCTTGATGGCAGAAGATATTTCGTCTATCCCCCTGCCAGACCCAACCGCTTCGCTTCTTTATCAAGTCTGGAGGGAGCAGAACTAACGGCGCGGTTGTTAAGGCCTATGATATCAATAACATCGGTATATGCCATTAATTGTGCGCTCTTCTAAAAGATTGCTTTACAATCGACGAAAAGGTAGTGTGTGTTGATTTCTCTCTCCTTTCACAGTCTTTTCCAAGATTTGGCGCATGGTGAATATCTTGCCAATGATTGACTTATCAGGTCTAAAGCACTGACAAGGTACAATCAGTTTATTAACGGTGGGTTTTAGTCTGTCACACCTTACGATGTTAAGGATTCTTATTCAAAGGTAATTGGCGCATACTGTGGGATCGTCCTTTTCGTGGATTGGGCAAATCACACTTAGATTCCAATCGGGAAGCTGATGCATGCATCTTGTCAGCACTCCACCTCCATGTTTGATTTGTTGTTCTTTAAGCAAATGCGTTCCTCTTCAGCCCTCAATATCTATCCCTGCCCGCACGTGTAGTGGTCGATCCCAAGGTTGCGAGGTAGACAGTCTGTGTTCTCACCACTGCTTGCCGACATTCTTCATCGTACCAGTTCTTTTTTAGGCAATACCGAAAACCAATTGCTTCTGTAGCGGCGGCACGTAGGGAGTTTGAGATGCCGTTTCACAGTTATGTGTTTTCAAAATTTAAAACTAACAGAACCTAAAAAAACAGGTGGTGGGCGGTATAGCCAAGTAAGTTTGTGTCGATGCGAAGGAAAAGTAAATCCAGAAGGTGCTGTGCTGGATGTATGAAAACTATTTAGAAATTGCAGGTCATCCATCTTTTTTGATGCACACCTCCGTACTACACTTTTGCATGTTGACTCTGAATTCTTAAAAACCCAACTGGCTGATGAGAGTCTATCCAGAAATATATACTCCTCTTAAACCTCTAGTGCCTAAGACCGTCTGTAGGCGGTCTAAATTTATGTCAATGTCTTTTGAAGTTGGAAACTAGTGACTCCGAATTACTGTGAAAAAATGTGTACTTCAAAAACGAAAAAGTAATATCAAAAGAGGGAATTTAGCTAATAATAAGAAACTATCGTTTCTGATAGTATAATATAAAATTTCCAACGTTTTTGTAGATAGTCTAGAGGCTTGGAATAACCCGAAATAAATAAAATTATACCGTAAGTTTGAAAGTTTAACATTTTGAAAGGCATTAAATGTTTAAAGTTTTCATTAGACAAATTTCGAGAACTCGATGATGATACCGATGTAGAACATTTAGAAGAATTTTTAGATGAACATGTACATATATGAAACACTGAAAGTGGTTGGATTGTCTCATAATGATCAAAATTGAAAAATCATGTAGTATATTATTTTGAGAACTATTACACGCAGCTGCCACTTTTGGTTTATCAAAAATCACGCTGAATACATTCATTCTACAAAAATAACACCCACGCTAGGGTAAAAACTAACTAACCCCCCTTGCTATGGTAGAGCTTAGCATTATCCAGAGTTCTTAGCACGCGTGAATATATAGTATATTTATATCAGCAAAATAACTATTATCACGATTTTGTTTTAATTTAAGCAAAAAATAAAAAAAAATTCCTCTATTGTAAACATTTTTGTTTATTTATTTAAGGTAAGATGTTATTTTCCGAATTTCTGTTAAAAACTTTTACTTTGTTCAATACACGTGAATTGTACAATGGATTTAAAAAAATATGCTTAAAACTTTTTTTGGGTTTATTTCCCCAAGTCGCCTGGAGATGGTCTGAGGTTTTTGCTCTATAAATCTAATCAACGCACAAAATTTATTTGATAAAAAACCAAAACTTTTAACAGAGTCCCACTCTCTACGGTTATTACTGCTCATTAGATCATCGAACAGAACTAATGAGAGAGCTCGGAGAACTTATAATAATGAGAAGGTAGGGGAATCTCTATCGTATTATAACGATTTTCGGATCGCTAAAATGACTTAACGATAATTTCAACGATATCGTCGCTATTCTCCAAGTACAGTATAACGATTTGTAGACCGCAAATAAGACTTACCGATAATGTTGTTGTAAACTCGACAAATCACTTACTAAGCGACGAATATTTTTCAGTTGCTAGCCATATCCACAAAATATTGTTATTTCATTTGAGAGACTAAAGTGTCCGGGAAATTGTCTAAGTTATACAAAAATAAAAATAAAAACATAAAAAAATGTTTTTTTGAATATTTGGCATACGATTTTACACAAGATGAAGAGGTATTCTACCATATATCATTGGACGGAAGTTTGCTTGAAGTGGTGCACCTTTTCTTCATTTTAATAAAATGCAAATGACCGTTGTCGATTATCGTAAGAACTGAGTTAGAGAATCGCATATTCGTTAGCGCAAGCGACAAAATTCGCTAGTTTGCGATCCGACAAATCGTGTCGATAAAGTTACACTGCTTACACTACTGTTTTTTGTATGAATTGACCAGAGAACTTATATTAATTAAAAGAAATAGTTTCGAAACTTTTTTTTAAACTGGATTTTATAACATTTTAATTAGTTTTTGAATATTTAAAGAACACAAAAAATGAATGGTTAAACAATTTTTTATTTAGATATATTAGCACCTTTTTGGTTAAAAGTCTGCCTCTGTTAACAAAATTAATTTCATGGCGACGAGCAGTGCGTCCGGAACTCTTTTTCCGAACAAGAAGCGATGGTTTGCTGAATATATTGCATTATGAGTCTCTTTTGGTATAAAATTAAAGCACATTCGAATACTTCTTTAACTACAACAACATTTAATTTTCTTTATTTATCTATTTACATTGTGACGCCGGCAAGAACTTCACATCCCAATTGAAGTGTGGCTGTTAATGCAGTTTCAATATTAACAATTTTACTTCTTTTCGATCACATGGCGCTGAAAAAAGGGCATTGTTCTGTTAAGTTTTGCATATTAGCAAAACGAAATGATATCGTTTTATTCGTTGAGCATCACTGGAGTAAATTACTCCAAATAAATGATTTCACCAAACCATTTAAAACAGTGGTTGGTTCCAACCCGTTTTTCCAATGCGGGAGAAGCAAGAAAAGCGATTGCCTTTTTTTATTGCAATTCGAGCATTATATTATATTATATTTTGATTTAAAGCCTTTTTATAAGGAGCATTTTTTTCATATCAGAATTTCACTTGGAGAACACGGACACTCCCTACTGATGGGCGACCGGAATAAGAAAATTTATGTCAATTTCTTATTTAAATTAATATAATTTTTGCATGGTGGTCAGGCAAGAACTGACCTTCGGAATGATAATGCTAACCACGTGGCTATCGCGGCAGCCGACATATGTACACGTATGTATATTCGTTTTGGTGCGAACTAAACTTCCTTTGAAAAAAATACCATTTTACATTAAAGTACGGGTTTGCTATAAGTTCACCATTAGGCGATGTTGAAAACAGTTCAGTTAATAATACTTTTAGTAAAAGTTATTTCGTAAACAATTTGTATTTTGAATAAGAGTTAGAGTATAGAGTTTTACAAGTAACGTTTAAAAATTATGGCAAATATTCTGATATTAATCGTAGTCGATTTCGAGTCCTCTTGTTTAGGCAGAACCGACTCTAAAGTCAAAATTACCAAATAATATTATAGTTTAAGAAAGTAATACAAGTTCTTAAAGTAGATTCCTGATAGAATATAGCTCTAAGCTGACTACTGAAGTTAGAGTGCATTTAATCTTTTTAGTGGCCCTATAGTTTTCGACGGTAAAGGATCATTTCAACCATTACAATAATATATTAAATATCTTTGATTTATATACATAGCACCAATTACGTTGAGATATCTGAGTCTTAAATATTAGAAATGAACTTACGCTCTTTGGTACTAAAAATTCATAGTGAGTTTCACGGAATCTCGGTTCCCAGTCATTAACGTCGACGACTTCTAGTGTAATATCTGCTGTAATATTCGTTATACCATCCGTTGCCATAACTTGAAATTCGTGCTTTGTCATTTTTTCATAGTCCAATGGCTTTACTAAGATAACTTCTCCTAATGATCCCACATTGAAAAATTGTGAATTTATTGGATCCAGAATTGTATATTTCAAATGTTTTCCGGGTCTGTTTGAGGGTAATGCTAGAATACGGTTTCCGACTGCTGTGTCCTCGCGTATGCGCATAAAAAACTTTTGCTGTATAAAAGACAAAGCTGTCATATGACCATGCGATCCCGGTCGTGTCAACATTACTGTTGCCAAAGCATAACGATCAGCATTGTCTATTTGCGTCGCTTTTACCACCAGTGTAGCACCGTTAACTAAATCCGCACTCTCAATTCGGGTTAGCAAAGTAATTATTCCACTATGAGGATGGATTCGAAAGTATTTCGTATCTTGTGATTGAACAATTGTGTACTGGATGGGTGCACAGATACCTTCATCTTGATCAACTGCTTTGATTTTATCTGGAAGTAATTTTAATTCACCAGGTCCTCCATCGTTAGGAAGCTCGCCTGTGTAGGAGTCATGTTCAAATTTTGGATTCTGGTCATCAGCATCTGTTATCACAACTCTCAATGTTGTGTCCGTGAATTTTGGTGGACTTCCCTGATCTTGAGCTCTAAGCTTCACAGTAAAATTTTTCATGGTTTCATAGTCTAATGATTTTTTTAGTACCAAAGTACCTTCGAGTGGGCTTAAAAACTGGACATATCCATTGTACGGTCCTGGCAATATTTGATATTCAACCGTGGAAAATGGACCAGGCTGATCGGCATCATCTGCATGGACCCCTTGAAGTATTCTCGTGCCGGGTACAGTAACTTCTGAAAGTGTAAGAGTATATGGTGCACCTATCCAAACTGGGGCGTTGTCGTTTACATCAATTACCCGTATATTCACTGGTATTACAAAACTCTGTGAAAGAAATTTGAAAAACTCAATTAGTAGATTGCCGTTTTATTTACATTTCATAAATGAATACAGAAATTAAAAGTTTTGTCAAATGCCCAGGAAATTGGAAAGAGCAGATGAGATATCGAGATATCATAAGTGCGAATAACCATTTTGGTATCAATTATTTAAAGAATTCATCATAAAATGGTCAATAGCATTTTTTGAAACAGTCTAAAAATTAGACATTTAGATACCCAACAAAAACGGTTGAAAAAGAGATCAACCTTGCTTGAATATAAATTTCCCACATTTTGACAGTCGACTCTTAAAAATCTCTATACGAAGATGCCTGAATAACTTAAAGATGTTATGTTAGTTAGCTCAACCTCAAATTTGGGAATAAATTTGGTAAAATTTATTCGATTTCAAAAGTATAAGGTTGTCAAATATCTCCCTTCCGCTTTTTTGCTCTTCATTCAATGCTTTATAAAAAGTGTTACACTGATCGCATTTAGTTAAAATATGCATCGTTTTTTTCGATGATCTGTTTCTATCTAGACGGCAACTTCATAATACCTTCCTCGTAGAAACCCCCCTCCTTATTTGCGAAGAATTCGGACAGCCACTTTTCACAAGCCTCTTTTGAGTTCAACTTCACACTACCAAGGGTATTCGCATGGACAGTAACAGGTGGTAATCACTTGGCGCTACGTCCGGGCTATATGGTGGATGCGATAAAGCCTCCCATCCGAGCTCCCGTAGCTTTTGACGAGTCATCAACGAAGTGTGTGGTCTGGCGATGTCCTGGTGGAACACTACTCCCTTCCTGTTAGCCAATTCTGGACGCTTCTGGTCGATCCCCTACTTCAAGCGGTCCAATTGTTCGCAGTAGATGGTAGAATTAAGCGTCTGGCCATATGGGAGGAGCTGATAGTTGATGATTCCCTTCCAATCCCACCAAACACACAGCAAAACCTTCCTGGCCGTCAATCCCGGCTTGGCCACTGTTTGGGACGATTCACCGGCCTTCGACCACGACCGTTTTCGCTTGATATTGTCGTATGTGATCCATTTTTCGTCGCCAGTCACCATCCGCTTCAAGAATGGGTCGAGTTCGTTCCGTTTCAGCAGCATATCGCAGGCGTTGATTCGGTCCAGAAGGTTTTTTTGCGTCAAATTATGCGGCACCCAAACATCAAACTTTTTTTTGTATCCAGCGTTCTGCAGATGGTTCAAATTGTTTGGTGACTAACTCCCATCTCTTGGGCGATGTCACGGGATGCCATATGCCGGTCTAACTCGATGTATTCCATGATTTGATCGGTATTTGTTGTCACAGGTCTTCCGCCGGCTGGCTCATCCATGGTGTCGTTTTCACCGGCTCTGAATCGTCGAAACCATTCCTCCGCGGTTCGAAGTGATAGAGTACCATCCCCCAAAACATTAATCTCACGGAACGTTTCTCTGGCGGATTTGCCCTTACCGCAGGAAAACTTTAAAATAGCGCGAATTTCGGCGTTAGTGAACTCCATGTTTACACGTCTATAACTGTTTTGTAGGTAATGTCAAGAACTTTAAAATTATGTATAGTGTTGCCAGATACGAGCTCTGTAGCGCTTTATACATAGCCGCGAAATTCAAAAGACAAAAAGCGAAGGGAGATATTTGACAACCTAATATTAAAAGAAATTAAGACAGTTTCAGCTTTTATTAGCCTTAAGGGGGGAACCTGGTTTAGAACGCTGAAAATTGCATGATATTTGGCACAGTGTTGCCTTACGTATGAAATGTTTCAAGTACTTTTGAAATAGATCATAGAAATACAAATCTTGCAAAAAAAATTTACTTCCACTTCATTTGATACTGTTAAGCAATAACAATTCGTATTTGTTTGTGGCACTTCTCGCTCGAAGAGTCTATTTTGTGAACACGATAGCGATCTTAGTTTTCATCTGAAACATAAAAGCGAATACTTTTTTTGTAGCTTAGGAGTTGCTCTTCTATGTGAACCTAAGATATTCGATGAAATGTATAAAATTATTTATTTTATGACTGTTTATAAAAAATTTTGCGTTTTTCTGAAGAAATTTTAAGATAATTTATTGAAAAAAGTTAATAAAAAAAATTTTTTTATTGTGATTTTTTAGGTTCACTGTAGCTGTAACAAATGTATCACTTATGAAAATGCGACAATTACAACTTTTTTAATCGTGTGCACAAAACAGAAAAACACTGTTTTGAGAAAATCGCGTTCAAAGTTCTCGCGCCCGCTTATCAGTCTCCTAAACGCATTGTCTCTCAGAGGCCATTTCTGCGGAACGATTAGGAATTTGACTCTGAAATTTTGTGGAAATATTTCTGAATATATTTCTAATCGAATGATATATGATTCAAAAAATCGATCATTTTGACCCTCTAAACTAGGTCCCCCCTTAATAAATATGGTGTAACGAAATCAAATACCTGGAAATATTGAACGAAGAGACTTTATAATTAATACTTAGTGTACAATACTGATGCTTTAATTCTTATAAAGAAGTGCACCGGAAGTTCAAAAAGCAGTGCTTAGTCTACTTGACCTACGCACAGGGTTTGACCAAAGTTGTCCTTAGTGCATTAAATATCTCTTCCAGTTTTTTCTAATTTAACCCAAAATGCTCCTCTAGAAGTTAATAAGAGCATCCCTTAAATATAAGAAAGCTTACATGTCCAGTTCACCAATTCATAGCCAGCGCATTTCAGTACTGTCCATTTTAGAAGATTTAACAATGATCTTTTCTTCGACAAAGTTTTCAACTTTAAATTTACTATAAAGAAGTGTATAATTTGTTAATATAAATTAATGAATTAAGCTAACATAAGCTGCATCATATAGTCTGCTTATGGTAAGTATTGCTCCAGAAAATTTTTTCAAACTACTTTAATCGATATGTGCACATGCACTTTTATCCAAAGATTTCGTTGACATACCTACATCTCCCGCAGTCCCATTCATTAAATTATCAGTTAGTTACTCAGTTGGATTATTACCGAGGGAATGTAAGTGCCTACTACTGTAAGAGGGATTACGTATTAGAATCTAACCAGAGTAGTATTATCCAAAATTATAGAAAATTATTCAAAAGAAAGAATTTGTATCTTCTTTGTGTAGACTGATTTTTTGACGGATTTATATACATAGTTTTATGATTTCAAAGATTTTCAGAGTTAATATTCATTCGAATTTACGTGTGTAAAATACCAAATTTCACGCTTTACGATGCCATTTTAACAGATTTGAGTAACTATGTAGTTTGTGTTCAAGCTGACGAGCATATATACATGTACGAGTATAAATATCATTTAATAAAATTTGCAGTCAGTCAGCGCCTAAAAGCATGCAGCCTTTCATAAAACTCACTAGCCACACTATTAAGTAAAATAAAATATACTACATTTTATAATTGCGGTTTTATAACCGTTGAAGCATTTTTCGACTGAGCACCTCATCGAATTTGTGGTATGGGTATTGATGTTTTTCCAACAAATGGAGGGACCTACAGTTTATTCTAAGCCGCTTTCGAACGTCTAATGGTATGGCGAGCTTTGATTTTCAAGCCTGAGATTCCTTGCCGATGGGCGACCGTAATTGGAAAAATTATTTTTTTGTTATTTTTTTAGATGTTTGGTCAGAGCTGAACTAGAATCTTAATATTCTGAATGTTAGCTCGCTAGGCTATTGCGGCCGCCATTTAACTGAAATAGCGGCTAAGAATTAGCAAATCTAATATAGTTGTATTGAATAATGACAACAGATTATCGCACTAGTAAATTACGTGAGCTCGATCCTTGCCATAATAAGTTTAATAAGGAGAAGGGGTGGTCTCAGAATCATTAAATTTACTTTGCATACTTTTAATGTCCAATTTTAACGAAAATACTGGAAAAGTCGCTTGCACGAAAGCTTGCCAGTTACAACATCATTGATATATTAAGTTTCGGTGAATATTAATTGGTTAAATGAATGAAAATCGTACCGTTTTTTACTTTTTCTGTCTTACAATAAATTCTTTTAGTTTTTCTAATGTTGAATAGCTGATTATGTTAAGCAATCAAAGTGCCCACTTGTATAAACTAATAACCAAATTGCTCCAGTTATCTGTCACAACAGAAGTTGGTAAGCAATCTCTGATTGCCTGTTTAGATGTGAGGTTACGAAACTCTTTACTACCATTTATTCAATAAAATTGCGTCAAATATTGCGCGTTGAGTGCATAAACCCTAATTATGTGATATATTTTAGTTCAAGCCTTTTGTACGCCAGCAAAACTTGTTTTTATCCTTTTTTTTAACTAGGAATAATTTATGCATACTTCTAGTCAATATTATAAGAAAAAGTAACTAATTTAAAATTTTGTTTGTCGGTGGTTTGCTTAAGGCATCTCCGCTTTTTAACTCACTGCTGATTGTCGGGCGTCGATATTGTAGTTTGAGTTCAGCATGTTGTTCATGATGTCGAGGGTGTGTTCTCAAAATGGCAGACCTTATATGATTATTTATTATCTTTTCGGTCGCAAGTTTTGGCTATCTTGTATATATTTTTTTGCTGACTTTGGAATAAATTTTATAAGTGCACTATCCGCACTGTTGAGATCCTCGTATAGGCAAAATGCAGCCATACAATCAAGCATAATGATACATGTATGTGGTAAAGTATAGTTTCATGTTATATGGCTATTAATTGGAATAATATTTTTAAGACTTTATTAAATAAATAATATTGAAATGATAATAATATATATTGTATGTTAATTAAAATGTAGAGGACCAAACTATTCGGAATTAACCAGTGTGACGGCCCTTATTTAGTTGCTAGTCAGATTTTGTAAACAAACTAAACTTATTGTAAAATGAAAATTTGTTTTGCACTTACTGGATCTGTAGAACGTCGACGCGTACAAATTACATTCACATATATCGATGAGGGACCTCCTATTCCTTCTTTATCCAATTCCACGGCTAATGATAAGTCTTTAGTGCCCGAAACTATTTCGATAGGTGCCTCTTTTTCTCGAAAAGACAAATCTATATCCCCTTCTTCTGCGTCAGGATTCCCATTAATACGTAACTTTCCGATAATTGAACCCACTTGGAGATCTTCATTGGCAAGGAAGCTCTCAGCTGAACCGCCGCCTTCAAGATAACAACGTGAATCCAATATAGCACCATTTGTAGCTATAACAAAAAAAGTACTAATTAATTATGGCATTACATCAGTATTACTTTATGTTATAAAATATCTACAAAAAGTCCGTATATTAATAGAAGGAAAGGACTAGAATCTCTAGTAAAGAGTTATATTGCCCTTTAATATTATTTTCAGATCTTATGCGCTTCTACAATGGCCCTTATTTTAAAGCAAGTAATTCTAATTGATGACCGCAATAGCAATGTGCACTGCTATTCTAAAAGTAAGGTTTCAAGTATTGGTTCGATCAACATCCACAATAATAGAAAATTATTTTTTTTTTTTATAATAGCGATCACTCTCCGGTAGGCAATGTGTATTTCTGATAAGAAATAATGAAATAAAAAAAGCCTTTTATAAAAATCCATCTGTCAAACGGCGGTAGATTTGTTGAAAACACATCAGCTATAAAAAAATAATTATTCAACACCTAAAATTTAGTAATTATGGAATTTTAAAATTTATTTGTTGAGAGAAGTAAGAATAGTTTTTGATGCTAAAAAGTGAGTCTGAGAGATCGAAGCTGCTGGAATGAAAATTAAATTTGTGACACAATTTTATATGACTTTAATAGTAAAGGCTAAAACTGTCTAGATACACTAGTTGGAACATCAAAGTTTACCTCAGATAAGAGCCATGAACTACAAATTGATCTGTTAAGAAATTTTACTACGAACAGGGCGCCTAACATTTCTCAACGACTTGCGAGAGTAGGTAGATTTAGAAGCTTTAAACGGTTGATATAAAGAGAAAGATTTATCGAAATGTCTTAACGCAAAGAGTAAAAATTGTTTTTGAACAGACTGCAATTTATCGGAATGAACCTGAAAATTGGGGTTCCATATCAGTGAACTATATTTTAATATTGACCTAACCAAAGTCATATAAAGTGTTTTGTTTATAAAAGGTCATTGAATTCTTCTGGCCATTTTTTTCACAAAGACATTTTTAGCTTGTAAGACAGGGGTATTGACATGAAGATGGAAATTGAGCTCGGGCCGAGATGGCTATCTTGAGGAAATCCTGATGAGACATTAATTAATTATGATAAACAGGCCTATTCTCACTGTTACCGGTAAAGTAAATCTTGTTACTTTTTTTTAACATACGAAATTGAATTTGGTATTCTGGCGTACTGGTTACAATGTTTTGAAAAAACTTTGGCAGCACTGCATTTTTCGTCCTTGTCAAATTACGTTTGCCACTTGGTAAAGTAAAAAACAAGAATGTTCACATCGAAAAGGAAGACAGCGCACAACAAATAAATAAGTTTTATTTATTTGTTTATTAAATCATAAATATTTGAACCTAATTTTGGAAAATATGCCTAAGCGACAAAAAAAAAGCTGAATGAAAACGCTATCTTCCAAATTAAAAGGGTAATTTGTTTCTCGCAAGCTTCTTAGCACACGCCCTTTTCCACTTTTTTTTCATCTTCAATGAATTCCAGGCCTAAAATATGCCTACCCATTTTGGTTTTTATTTTTTCTTAAACCAACAACACAAAATCCAACAGATTTTTTTGTTAGCTCCTATTTCGCTTGTAACAAAATTTACAGGGTGACAGTGAGCTCAGAATACGAAATAGTAACAAAATTTACTGAATGGTAAGTTTTTATACCAAATTAAATTTTGTTACCTGAGCAGAATAGGCCGGAAAGTGTCTTTAGATGTTACCCGTTGTGTTCTATTGTAGAGATACGGGGAAATACAATACAATGGTTGAAAGTCCAGAAGATTTAGTTTATGGATGAGAATTGAGTGATTAACTCTATATAATGCTTTAAGTCGGTGTAGATATCGTCAGTTTGATTATTATCTCTAAAGGCTTTAGTGATAAGTGACACAAATTCGAGCAAATTTGTAATTGTTGATTTTCCTTCACAAAACTCGTGTTGGGAATTGGATAGTAGTGAGTAGATCGAAAACGTTATCTGACTAGTTATGATATTCTCATGATTGCCTAATATGTATATATACACGTGTCGAGCCCTAAACTCAAAAAACAGACTTACGACAAACAGGCTACATCCCTTAAGCCTCAAAAGTGAAAAAATATGAAACCGCCCTCATAACCACAGGTCTGAATTGGGCGTTTTAAACCCTTGTGACAAGCAAATGTTTCAAAAATGTTCGGCGATATTATATATTTCAAAATCTTATAAACCATTTACCTTAAAATCAAACAATAAAATGAGCGCAAATATATTAGGTATTTGAAGAAGAGATACAACATAATATACTACGTAACCTTCATTTGAGGAAGAAAATTGGTTTTGCCTGCAAAATTTATGGCTTTTTATTTATTTCGAAACTAAAATGATATTTATCATTTTATGGTAATATATTTTCGACTTTTTTAGTTATACATGTTTTACATAAAGGATCTTGACCCATTGTAAACCAACTATTACTCTTTATATTTCTGGGCGGAATCCTTTGCTGAATAACTTTTTTAGCGAATTTCCTATGTTTTAAATTTGGAAATTCAAAATAAACGTTTTCATTCCCTTTTATTCCCTTCAAGTAAAATTATTGAAGGCTGGACACTCGCAAGCTGGCTGGATACTCGCAAATATAGTCTTTCAGCGTTTCGCCATCTTCTGTGCATGCTCTGCACTCAGCCGGTTTGACTTCTCCTAATTTGCAGAGATCATATCTAACTCAACTATTGCTTAATGTTAGTAACATTTAGTATGTCCACAATCAACACCACCCCACAATCACTGTGTTTCCACGTGATTATCAGTATTGAAGCGGATACCCATTTGGTAGCTTGGGCAATACCAAAAATCTCTGCTTTTAAGGTAGAGTTTTAGTCATTGAGTTGCTCGGTTGTTGGGATGGTCACAGAAGAGCCCTACTCTTGTGCCTGGTTTACATTTAGACCCATAAGTATGAATATGGAGACCTTGAATGTTTTAGAGTTCAAAAAGTACAGACGTTATGATGAAACTTAAAGCTTGTAACTTTTTTTTTTTTTCATTTTAATATATTTTCAAAGGTATTTTAAACGTAAGGCGGTAGCCGAGTGGTTAGCATTGCGTACTGACATTCGGAAGATTCGGGTTCTAATCTCTGTGCCACCAACATCCAAAAGATATGGAAAATTAATTTAAATAAAAATTTAAGTTAAATTTTCAAATTGCGGTCGCCCCTCGGCAGGGAACGTCCACCACTCCGAGTGTATTTAAGGGAAATAAAGTGTTCACTGTGGTATCGATTGAATTTCGCTGTAAATTTATTGATTTAGGCAGAAAAAACAGGGCAGGCCACAAACGAATATATAATCCGGTCCGGGAGCGAGACATTGTCTGGGAGATAAGAAGTGACAAAGTCGTAAAAGCGGTAGAATTAAGCCAGAGCTTAAAAAAGGACAATATTATCATAGTTTCAGTACAGCCAGTTAGTAGAGCTCTGGGAAATGCTGGCTTAAAAGAACGAGCAAAAATAAAAAAAATCCATACTCACTGAAAGGCCTAAGAAACTGCGAATGGCATTTGCAAAAAAGTATCAAAATTGGCACTCAAGTTGTTGTCATTGGGAGAAGGGGAGTTAATGTTCGGATGAGACAAAAATTAATCGTGCTGGGTCGGATGGTAGAAATGGGGTTGGAGATATTATATAAATACTCGAGCTTCCGTCCACATCAAGTCAGCTTATGTGTAAAGTTTTCAAGGTTGTTGAAGGGCTCGCAAAATGAAGAAAGAATGACTGCAGATTCCTATATACATATGAAGGTATTTCACAAAATAATTTATTGGGAACCAGAAACTATGCAAAAAATTCCAGTTAAAAAACCTTAGCCTGATTCATTTTATGAGATACTGTAAACATGTATATATATTACGTGTCGCAATTCCTTCCTCAGTGTATTGGTGGGATACATTTATTTATTAAGCATTTAGTTAGTAGAAGCTCAAAATTATGAATTCGCATGATGATGGAAATACTTGCACCTCTAAAAATGTGTTTACAATTAATTAATTAAATAATTATAATTAAATCTTTAAATAAAAATTAATTCGTCGAAAAACTAAAACGCAAAAAATAATAAATTTTTTTACTTAGCTTTATAAATTCTGAAAATAATATGACTATACCTTAATAAATTTTATCAATTAAGTGAAGCATTATTCTCGGCTTTGACTCTGCGTTATACGGTGCTACGCCAAGCGTTAAGCGAGGCACAAACGTGAAGCATAAGTCAAGGTAGGAGCGGACCAAGGTGGGGAATACTTAGGACATTTCCACCAGACCGCCTATTCTTATGCAGACTCATCTGTGAAAATATAATATACTAACTATACTGGAACGAATCAAAAGGTACCAAATGTAGCTTTGCTTTAAGCATTTTAAGCCTTGCAAAATTTCTACTACATCTAAATATATTGTATTTGCCTGTCCTTTTGACAGTAAATATTGTAACTCGACCGAAAATTTGATAGTGTTTAAAGCGCTCTTTCGGCCAAACAATTATTAAAAGTAAGACAAGTCAAGAATAGCTAGCGCAGCCATTTCGTATTGGGACATTTCCCTTTTAACGATTTTTTTTAAATTTGATTTGCTTAGCAATCTCTATGCATTGATTGTTAATAGGCGACTAAAAACTATTAAGGTATACATATGTGCCTACATTAGTTTAAATAGCAAAATCTATAATTGTTTCATTTTCTTTAAACTTTCATTTACAATACATTGACGCTATTCTACTAATAACAACATGCTTCACTACATATTACTTTTTTCGCAACAAGCGGTATATTTCAGCCAAACTAGGCACACAGATACACTGTGAGATTTAATTGACATTTGCATGATCGATTTTTCCAGTTAGAGATTTTGGGCCTTAAATATGCGAAAAAAGGATAAACAGCGTGACATTTGGTATTCTGCAGGAACGCATCTCGTATATATGATGAATTATACAGGTTGTTTACGCGCAAAGCGTAAATCCCTGCAAAACTTTGGGCGCTGGCTAAATGCT